ACAATGAATTAATTAGAAGTACATTGTTAATGTGATTCTCATAATCGGATAAGCCCACCAGCTAGAGGTCACATTTAACATTAGCAAAAAACATTTTTGACGTCCCACAAACATTTGGTTCATTTCTATGCTCGCTTACACATCTAATTTGTGAAACTGCCTAATTTTTATGTTATATTGAGAATGTACACTGTGCATAATCCTGTAAACAAATGAACGCGAAATTTTCCTTTGGAATTCAACTCCAGGAGAGTTCACCCACAAGTTGGGATAATCAAGCTGAAGTTTCAAAGATTTAATTGAAGATTTTCCCATGTCACCTTAGTGTACTGTAATCTTGAACTTCCTAAATATAATGTTTTGGCTCAATAAATAGTTTACCTTTCTCCTTACAGTCAAAAGGAATTTCACTTAAGATATCCTGATGAGCCAAGCAACATGAAACATACAAAATGACCCATTTGCAACCATCAGTTCATTGTCCATGTCTTGTATGCATAATCTGATCACTCTTTTAATATACTTAAATAATATAGGTACACAGCTGTTGTTCTAAGTTACTGGTTCAGTATAGGTAAGATCTGTACATGATCTTGAAGAACTTTGCATTTTGGCCTGGTATATGAAAGCTATTATACAACTTTCCTTGAAGGGGAGATGAATAGTGGTGGATATATACACTGAGATGCAAAGCGCCGAGGTATATATCTAGTGCTATTAACTGACCCCTGAGAGCAATAGTTGTTTTAGTATCAATTTTACCAAATCAGGTGGATAAAAATCAAAAAGGAACTTTCTGTAAATAAAAGATGTCACTTAGTTAGAGTTTGTTTATGTTGCATTATTGACAGTGGCTGGGGAATCATTTTTGACAATTTTGTTGTATATTCATTAAGAAAATTTTTTCCCACCGACCAGTAAACGCCGACAAGCCAAATTTTGTCTCCCTTTTTGGTAATTACTGAAATAGCTGCTTCATTTACCTCTAAAATTTTATCTTTTGAAACTGTCGTTTTAAACGAGGAGCCATTTTGAATCCCAAAACAGTGAATATCCAAGGATATTCCGAGTTAAAGGGAGCTAATCAGAACACACGTAAATCGCTATCCACTGATTTGGTGAATACTAATAGTGGACAACCTCTTCACATTGTATAATGAGGCATTTTTATGTACAAGTACATTGAATCCCAAGTTTATGAATCTTCTGATTATATAAGATCAAAATGATTTTCTTGTCCCAAGCAGATTAAAAATATTGGAATGCCACATTCGTGGATGAATTTCTTGTGAGGGGTTGGTGCTAGGTCTCCTTAGGTTAACGCCTCACCTTGGTTCATGACTTCATTAATTTTTTACATTTTTTGTTGTACATGTGGAATACTTTGATCACCAGTGTATAATTCTCTTTTATTGTAGGCGGCTTTCAAGCTTGTACAATCAGCAGACTACCCTACAGTGGAAGCCTTTATGAAGAAATTTTAGAGTGAGTTTACTTTTTAGATACTAAGCTGTACTCGACGTATGCCCAATCATGAAAGTTTTCTTGTCATATGGGGCCTCAAAGTTTTGCAGTACAGTAGTTTCTCAAAGACTTGAAAAAATCCACATGCTTGAGTAAAATGAGTCAAGATATTTTCTTTCATAAATATGAAAATTTAGTTGGCAATCAATGATTGTTTTTGGCCAATATTCTTGAAGTGCTGATTTGGAATATTATAATACTTCTGCTATTTTGTGAGTTATGAAAGAGGCTGAATACAATGCTCTGAGCCCTCAAGTGACTAGTGGTGTAACGATTAATTGAATTCTCGATTAATCACAATTATGACAGTTTGGTTCGATTCTCGATTCCTTGCTTCCACATTTCAATTTTGCTTCGTTTTTGCCTACCTTTTCCAGGGTGCCCTCAGTGAGTTATTATACTGTAAAATCAGAATCCAGAACTCTTTAAATGTGCGGTTTTGATTGATGAGAAAAGACAATAGCAGTTAAATGCGCCATTTTGTGTTGCCTGGTAAAAAATGCTGTCCTTCAACCACCCCTTGACAATTTCAAATAAGGCAAACCATCTTTGTCAGGATCTCAAACATGGCAACGAACCAAGCGACTGTGGATCCTACTGTCCCTGTTACTGTTCTCAAATTGAGGGTTTAGGGTTGCATGTCAGTTGTTAACATTACTCGTTATGTTATAACAATTAAGAAACATTTACATAATCAAATCGAAATAATCAAAACGAAAAGACAATAATTGAAATCGAATTGAATCGTATGAAATATGAATCATTCCACCCTACAAGTGACAAGCACCTCATAAGAAGCTTTAGATTTAAGTAATTGTAAAGAACAGCTCCCAACAACCAACAGTCAACCAACTGTCAACTAACAGTTAACTGACAATGTCAACAGTGGCTGATTGTTGACCAAAAGTCAGTCAACAGTCAGCTGACAATCTACAGAGCCTGCTTCTTACTCAATAATAACTTATCTTGCGAGCAGAATTAGGTTTGCCCATGCTAGCCTGTTTTTTTCCGAATTTAAGAAAATCAATTTTTTAATGTGTGAACGATAAAAATGTTATCATCAGAGACTTCTGGATATTTCGGGATTGTTTTTAGTTATTAATGATTTGATGTATATTTCCCGACGTTTAGCTGGATTGCCCTGCTGCATTAGAAAGAATAAAGGAAGGTAGACCGATCACCATTAAAGATGATAAGGGGAACACAAGTAAAGCTATAGCAGACACTGTTTCAGTGAGTAAAAAGCTTGTTTTTTTCCAGTTACATGTACATTATGTCAGGGAATGGCTGGGGTATTTGAGTTGTTCTTTTTTTTTGTCAACTTTATTCACACTAACTCACTTTATACTTACAATAAACAACATTGCTACAGAAACAAATAAATATTATACTTACATACACATTGCTAACATTGAGGGATAGCTTATAAATTAAGAAAAGTGAAACTAGCAAGTTATAATAATCAGCTACAAATTTAGTACACTGTACACTCAGACTGTCTCTGAGTGTATGGTGTAACACAATATTGCTGTGTACTGGAGTTTCTTATGGTATATCATTATGGTATTATATCTTTTACCCAAAATAAATAATAAATGAATTAATAACTAATAAATAAAATTCATAATTTCAAGTACAGTATATTATTTTGGATATTTTGAAGGAACCTCTGGAGAATTTTGGGTGCTTCAACTGTTTTTGGAGTCATAGAAGTAGATCAGGAGTCATTTAAGAGTATTCATCACACACCCTTGACTTTGTATCACCTGTGTTTGCAGGTGCCTAGTCTTAAGTCATTGGTCGTTTTCTCTTTGTGGTCTGCTTTCTTTTCATGTTTCTTGACTGTTAGCATTCCAAGTTAAGAAATCTCCATCTACATGTACTGCTATCCCTAATGACATCATTAGGTGACCTAATGACATCATTAACATGAGAGCGGAAAATGCAGATACAAAGCCTCCTTCTGAATCCAATGGGACTACTAGTTAGAGTGTTAGTCAAATACATGTTTTGCAATAACTGAGCAATTTATCACATGCTGTTTGGCCGAGAGCTATTTTTGATGAGATTATAGTGCATTGAAATGACGTATTAATGTTATTATTATTATTACTATTATATAGTACAGATTATAAAATATTTATTATCCATACTCCCTTACTTCGTATATTTGTTAAGCTGTGTGGGTGGTCTCATTGCAAGAAAAAATTTAATATAATTTTGTTGTTGTTGTGGTTACTTTCCACTTAGTCTCCCACGCAGCATGACAACACTAAAAAAACTAAAACAGCTGCAAGGGAGACTATTTTCCACCTAACATGAAAGTTTTATTGCAGCTTTTATAACAATAATGGACAAGCTGCGACTTCAAATCAGAGCAATGGATGAGGTATGCTTATGCAGTTTAATCCCAATATTACTGGGCCCAAGTTTCCAGGCCCACAGCCGCAGTATAGTAATCCTTAAAAGCTAATTTATGATTTTAGAATACTTTGTACAGAAAATATTTGTTTCTGTACGGTACATGTATATGTATAATTTATGTCTGGTATTGTTAATGTATGGTAAGGTTTCTTTCAGCTGAGGGCCATTTTTCCAAATCCTCAAGCTCACTGACAAAGTTATTGCACAATCAGTCCGTGAATGGTCAGAAATGCAAACAACCTGGATTCAAAATAATACTCAAGTTGCATTGAAAAGAAAGTCTTAAATTTAGTGATTACCTCAAATTGCAGAGTAGACTTCTCAAAAGAGGATTGCTGTGCATAATAACATTAATTTTCTAGACTTGAAATTCTTCCAGGAAAGAGACCGGGGTGCTCATATGAAATTTAGAATTAAACCCTTAAAGGAGACCAATTTTGGCGTGGTTTAAGCTTCATATGACCCCTAGAGGAGAAAGTTACCCCGCTAACCGATCAAGTCGCCCGAAAGTCATCTCACCCGAAGTTACAGTGTACATCGCCCGAAACCAGAGTCATGTCGCCCGAATTTTTTTTTAGTCAAGTCGCCTGAAATGTAATATATATCTCGTTCTTTAAGCGATAATGAGACAAAACAAGCGGAAAAATTGTGTAATTAAGTCTCGTTCCTTAAGCAATAATGCTATGGTGAGACGAAACAAGCGGGATGAATGTGTATCATAACCCTTGTTTATGCGATTAAGAGACGAAACAAGCGAGATGAATGCGTAACATATCTCGTTCTTTTAGCTTTGGTGAAGCAAGCACGTCAAATGAGTAACAGAGTAGAGTAAAGATTTGATGAAACGAAGCAAGCGTGATTAAGATGTTAGGATGTTGTTCGGCATGATAAAATTTCAGGCGACTTGGCTAAACATTTTGGGCGACATAACTTTGGGCGTGATGACTTTCGGGCGATTTGACCGTAAACCGTTACTGCAACACACTATGATGGCTCGATGCCTTAATAGCCCACTTTCGATATATTAAAATTCTAACATGACTCCGAGGCTTTCTGGTCATTTTTTCATGTTGGTTTGGTTTTCTTTGTGCTCAAGTCTTTTGTGGGAATTGCGAGACAATAGTCGTAAAAAATGTGCAATTTTGACCCTAAAGCCTCGGAATCTTGTTACAATTTTGATATATGGAACGTGGGCTATTGGTAATATTGTCTTTTCATGACCCGGACACCCTAAGTGAGACCAAAATCTACTATTTCTACCCCTAAGGTAGACGACGAACATCCTCATCACTTTCATACGTCATTTCATTGCTGGGAACGAGGTTGTCCCTCCGGGAACATAGAGTCAAACCTTGATATAACGATCCTCTATAACGAAAACCTTAGCCTGGGACCAGGCTCCGTGGTGGGTGAAAAAGGAAAAAAACGGGGTAAAATAGGAAAATATCGGGGAGCGAAGTTAGCCGAGCAGGTATCCTGGGGGGGGGAAAGGGCGCCACCCTTTCCCCCTCCCCAGGCTACCTATCGGCTCGCTTCGCTCCACATTTTTTTCTTTGGGCAACGCCGATTTTTCTCCTTTTTCGCACAATGCGGAGCCTGGTCCCAGGCTACGAAGACCTCGATATAAGGAAACCTCTTTATAGCGAACCAATTTAGCCAGTCTCCTGGACCTTCGTTATGTCGAGGTTCCAACATTTTACGCACTTCATATAATCTTTAATAGACAAAGCCCGTGTGAGCTTTATTTAGAAAACAACCTGGCAATTAGAATGTGAGTTCAGGTTTCACCCTGATAATGCAAGTTCTTCATTTCGAGTGGCGCGAGAAGCAAACCTGCGGGAGAACACGCCAGCGGGCGGCAAAGGCGTGTCTCTCGCACGTGACTTCTTGCGATGTTCCCAAAAATGGAATGCTTTCTCTCAGGCTAACACTCTGAACAGTGCTAGTGGCCGTGTATTTTAATTATAGATTCATCCAGATCTGAGAGACCTGATGGATACCATGAATAGCCTTAGTTCTCTTCCCGAAGATTTTGATGGAAAGGTGAAAGTTAACCATTGGTAAGTGTCCTTCATAACTAGGTCCAAGATTTGGTGGTGTCTGATTAGTTATCGGGCCTAAAGGTCAGAGAAATTTTTTCGAGTCGTGACGCAAAAAAACCATCGCGTGATAGCTCAAACAACAGTCACTCTTTCCCAGTCAAGGCAGGGGACGGCAGGGTCGGGGAGGCAATCTTGACCGCGCTCAAACTTAACACATGTACATCTACAAGAAACGTTAAGCAAGGCACTTCAAAGCTACGGTTGTCATTTTCACTGTTTGAAGTTATAACTGTTACTAAACTTTGTGAAAGTTTACTCTAAGAAGTTTTAAACTGCAGAACTGTTGGTGACATTTTGAACTGTCCAGCTTGGTTGCACAGCGTTTTTATGGACGAAAAGAGTTCTTTAACTTGGAAAAAAAAAAATAGTTATATCAATGAACTGAGCTAAACATCCTTGCCCAGTTTTTTTTCGCTTAATGGTGGAAAACCATTATTCCAAATGAAGCGAAGGTTTTTGAGACTGAGAAACAACACTCCCTTTCGTGAAAAGGAGGGCATTGACAGGGTGATTGAGCCGCTTGCTATGAGCAATGGGATAATAATTTCCCAGAAAAGTGCAACTTAAAACCTCTACAGGTCGAACGCTTTAGCCACTCAGTGACAGTTGCGAGCTTGGTCATTATATAAGCTAGATTCATAAATCGTGAGGCAAATGAAAATCTGTGTCTTCAGCGGGAATTGAAGCCACCACACTGCACGAGCGAGGTCTTGTGGGACAGGCAACCTGCAACTGTAGAATTGGCAATGTCAGAAGTCAAAATCTCGTGAAGAGAAAGATGAAGAAAGCAGCCAAAAACAAGCTTAATACTGAGCTTTTGAAGAGTCACGACTGAAAAACGACTGGGAAGAAAAAAATCCTCTTATAGAACCAAGTCAAATGTCAGAGATTACCACGAGTCTCCCAGTAGGTGGTTGGCATACTCGAGACAACCTCCATCTTTTCTGTCCTGTTTCTTCTCAACCGCGGCACTGGATTTATTTAGCTCAGTCGGTAGAGCGCTTGACTACAGAGCGGGAGGTCCTGGGTTCCATTCCCGGGGCCAGACCAATACTCAGGGTCTTAAAACAACTGAGAAAAATCAAGGTACTGCCTTTGCCCAGCAAACGACTAGAACTTCGTGTGGCTTGAATGACCACGTAAAATGGTGGTCCCGTCTCTAGTACAGGCATGAAAGCAGTGTCCCCAATTAGTACTTCGGTGCTGATTACATTGACACTCAAATAAAGTGCCCTTTTTTCTTCGAGCGTAAAAGTGGCTTCATCTTGATTAATCTCATCCCTATTTACTTACTCAAAAAAATGACAGGGTAGTTATCGCCTTTTTTATTGCTTTTGATCTAAAATTTAACTGTTGCATGATTTCCAGGTATGAGACCTTGAGTAGTATGAAAGCCAGCGATGAACTGACAGATGAACAAGTGCGACAGATGTTGTTTGATTTGGAACAAGCTTACAACTCATTTAACAGATCATTACAACATACTTAGAAAATAAAGTCACTGTAAAAGGAACACGATGGAAATCCATGGTAGACACAATTTAACTCGTATTCACTGGAATTGAAAATGATGATAACGCGTTTACTATAAATACGGTCATGTAGACCATGAAAGCAAATCAAGAAACAAGTTAAATAAAGTTCTGTTGTAAATAGCTTTATACATGTGCCAGCAGTCTTGAAAAAACCTTTTTCAGTTTTTCAGAGACCAAATACTTGGCGACACTTTTATGTTTGTGCAAGGTTTGCACCCGGGAGTCATTTCATAAGTAGGTTGAGTACTATCGTCCCGGGGTGAACATAGTCCTGAATAGAATTAATTGTTGTTGTTGACAGTGACTGGCGTTTCGACAACCTGTGCGGTAGTCATTTTCGGAGTCAAAGTGACTTGAAACACGTCAGTTGATGGTATTAAACGCTGGTTAATGACCACATTAGTCAATTTAAAGTCGTGATGTTATTGGTCGTTTGTCAGTTAAGCCGTGATGTTATTGGCTATGAAGACTCGTAATGTCATTGGTGCGTTTCGATCTGTCTATTGTCACAGTTAAAGAGTCGTTTATTGTCAGTTGTCCAGTCGTTCTCTCGTAGTTAGTTTTGCTGGAAACCAGAGTTTAATAACATCAACTGACGTAATACAACTCACTCTGACTCTGAAGATGATTACCGCACTCGTTTTCGAAACGTTAGTCATTGTCAACAACAACAGTCCTATTCATGCCAGGACTACGTTCACCCGGACGATCATACTCAACCTGTTTTATAGTTGTATATCTTTTCCTGTGTTGAACATTGGGTGTTGCGTGTTCTCTAGTACTGTGAGAACGCGTCTGAGGACTGAGGACATAAAACTTCGACTATCTATAATTATGACAAGAAAGCGAAACCCTATTGTTAAATCTCTTCAGCAAGAGAACGACTCGATTGCTTCTTTTTTTTTCTTCTTTGTGAATGTTTACCTTCACCGCCTCGATTAGCTCAGCTACTTGCGAACAGATGATATGTAAAGTTTGTTTTCATGTAGAAATATGAATGAATAAATAGATTTAAAAAAACACACAAAAAAATGTTTTTTCCATAGGAATAGTTGAGCGAGTGAAATACGCGAACGCTCGTGAAGATCGCTGCGTGCGAGGAGAGGCGAGACGAGGGAAATGCGTGTGACCTTCCTCGATGGTGTGATTTTCACTCGCGCTCTCGTATTTCATTTACTGTATCTTCCCTTGCAGGGAAACTGACCAAGGGGCGACTACTCGTAGTCTTCTCCTTTTGCTATTGAATGTAAATACTGAATAGTGATGCGTCGTAACGCCAGCTGATTGTATTACAACAGAGGCAGAAAGTATCTGAAAATCGCCACCTATATGCGATCGGGGAAATGACACGGGGAGGGGGGACAAAGAGGCTGTGCAAAATGCAAGACGTTCAACTGACTCAGGACTACGTAGAATTGGCGGTCGCGTCTCCAATACAGGAATTTAAATAAGAGTCCTCAATTTCATCGTTCCTTGTGCAAAATACGTTTAAACAGTTACATATTTCCGTGCACTCTATTTTATTTTGTCAATAAAATAAATAAAAATAAAAGCAAATACCATTCAAATTATTTACAATTCACAAATACAAAAAGGCAAAATTGATTTCATCTATCTCCTCTCGAAGAACACGTCTCGTATTCGGCGTGTTTCCACCGATGACTTCGCTAGCGGTTCTGCCTTCATGGTTCTGTAAACTTTGTTTGCGTAAGCGATAGCTTTTTCTTCGTTTGCTGTTTTAGCCTCCCTGAAAGAGGATTTACAACATCAAATCTGTTATTTTCCCTCTTGAAAAATTCCTAAGGCCTTGAGCCAGATTTGCGAATAGTTTGATGACAAAAGGCTGCAGTTTTAAGAAATAATTTTTATTCCTGTCCCTGATTTTGATATGATCTGGAACACGATCATGACGTAGAAGGGCAACAGGCGTTATTGAAAGCGCTCAAGCGGGTTATTGGGTGCATGTCTCGCACTACGCCTTCGCGCCCAAAAACCCTACCTGTCAAACCTGTGCACACCTGGGGGCGCCTTAAAACCCCTGAAGGGGTTTGTATCGAAAGACACCGTAGCGTTAGGTGGTTGGGGGAGGTGGTGAAATACAAGGTTTTTCTTATTAAGTCAATAGGGTAGATTGGTCTTGGTGTATATATGGAGATATGAGATTCAACTTCGTCCTTAGCGCTTTTCCCTTTTGCCCTGCCTTGTTTTTTTAAGGGAAGACCCCTAGGGACGAGGTCGATAGAGAAAATGAAGTTTCAAGCGCTAAACCTTCATCAGAGCGAGTCAGGAGAGTGTGGTTATGTGCGGTTTTTTCACCGGGGGTCTGTGATCGCTACAATAAAGATCGCGTTTACGGCAAACGGATACTTACACTGGAATTCTGTGGCATTTGGTGTTATGAAATATTTTTGGTAAAATAAATATCCTCACTGGTGGAACTGTTTCTGTTTTGTCTCGGTAATGTTCACGATGCTGTTGAGCAGCCTGTAATAAGAATAAATCAGTATCTACAGTACCTGGTTTGGAAACGCCCTGTACACACAGATCCTCCAATGTGTGTGGTTTTTTTATTATCATTTAGGTATTTCCATTCAAACACTGTCCATGGCATTACAAAATAAACTGTAAGGAAAATTTTGCGTTCCTACCTTCACTTAAACGCCATTTCTGAACGTCAGGCCTGGAGCAAAGTTTGACCTGTTTTTTTTTTTGTATACCTTATTGAAACTTCTGCCTCTGTTATCCCTACATTCTTGCGGGCCGCGAAAATTAAAACGCGAGAATACGGGTTTCAATAAAAAAAAGTCATCGATCTTTTTCATCAAAATGGTTTTTATCATAACTGACGTGATTTTGTGCGTTTTGCTCTGACTACCGCCCGAAACGTCAGCCGGCTTTTGAACCATTTTATAACGGCGTGTGGCTACTTTACCAGCCAGGATAATATCAACTTTCAATCTTCACTCCTCTAGCGGTACGACACCATTTTTTAGATTTGATTCAGTTGATTGATTGATCGATTTGACATAAACCTCTTTTTGCTCACCCTTAAAGAGCCGGTATAACTCGGCAGAAGGCACCTATACTAAATCTACCCATGTCAATAATGTACCATTACCAGGAATGGCTGACCTGGAAAGGAAAGGAAGGAGAAAAAGAAAGACCAACCCAATTCCCTTCTATTCTCCTCCTCCCCCCACAACCCCTCCCCACACCTCCTTCAACACATTCACTGTCAGAAAAAGTGATGGTGACATATCAATGGAAGATATTCATACTTTTTCAGTCTATGGGCCAAATCCTACAGCATAACTGCTAAAATTATTGCTTCAAAACCTCACAGCCCCGGTGGTTCAAATGTTGGTTAGGGCTATTCACCGGATAAATCATTATCCTGGGGATAAGTATAGGAAAACCTTCATTGCGCTATCCGCTGGTAGTGGATAGCTATATCCAACTTTTGAACAGCTGGGATTAGATGTTTGAACAGGGAGCCCACCTTGTCGTATTTTTTGATGGCTGTATCTCTGTCGTCTAAGTTCAAAAGCTTGTACTTCGGTGCGGCAAGCCAACGATCTCTTGAGCTCGTGCGTGCGCCAAGCACGTGATCTGGGTTATTTGTGTAGTACGTTGGAAAGGGTAGAAACTTATCTCCACCCCTCCCCATACGTTCTTTACTTGTGTTGAGCTGTGAGGCCCGGTAGTCTTGAAACCAGCGGGCAGTTGTGTTACCATACGTTTCTCCATAAGTAAACTTGATACGTGGTGTGTATCCAAGGTAACTAAAGATGGTGGAAATTACAAAGGATTTTGATATACACTCGTATATATCCTACCCCTAAAGCTTTACTTCCTGTTCTCATAGTTTCTGACAAATGCTGACCCTCCCTCCCTTCCCCTACCCCATTTCGCCTTTCCTGAGCCATTTCATCATATGAAACTGTGAAAATGAAAGCCTTAAAAAGTGGTCTGTCTTGTCATTAGTGTTGCCAGGCCATCGAAGCTTTCACTGAACGCCGTCCGATATAAGCTATAATAGAAGAATTATGAACTCGAAACTGTTTTATTTTTCGCAAAACAACTCCCCATATCTATATTTTAAGGTAACGTACATGCAAGTTAACTCACGCGCCGGCTTCACGCTCACGCTCGCTTCCTTAACAAAGCAGAAAATTTCACGCACGGCACGATTTTTGTGCCACGTTTTGTGATCTTAAGTGGACGTAGCGCACGCGATGACTAATGAATCATAGAAGATTTTATCTCGCCTAGACAGTGCAGTACAGTATCTACTTTGACGAAATTTGATACACAAACCTGAATGACATTCGTTTTCAAGAAAACTCAGTTTACCCTATCCAAACAGTAAGAAACTAAAAGAAATTTCCCTCAAATAAAGGAAATCATAAGAAAGAACCAGTGAAAGAACCATAACGAGTGCATTTCTATTTGATTCCTCCAAAACATCGAAACATTGCTTTTAATACAAGCTGTTCGAGCTATTAAAGTCTAAAACGTGACTCAGATTGCAGGAAATTTTTAAAAACTAAGAAATTAAGCTCAGTACTCGAAACATTTTAACAGACTGGCTGATGGAAATTCGGCTGGCGTAAGGATATTGTACGCGTGGTAATTAATTTGACCCTAGTTTGTTATGTCAGTGAAATTTCAATGTTGACACTTCACCAGCGAGCGGGTCTGTTCACTGCTTACCCAGGTACATGTCGTGGATGCCGATAAATATCCATGTTAGTCGTGAGTAAAGTCATTTTCTCCATCTTAATTGGCAAGTTACCTCTTTTTTCTTCATAGACTAAGTTGTTGCGTGTACAGTAAAAGCCAGAAGTCTTCAAGTTACTCGGGTAAGTTGGTAGTCAGAGAGGCCCAACGTTGCTAGCAACAACATGTAAGAATTTGCAATTCAATGACCAGTGAAGCGCGAAATGTCAATTGTCTGAAATTAATTTCATTATAAACGTCCAGTCCTGTTTCTGCATAAATTAACTTAATTGATTACCCCGGTCAAAGTCCGGCTGCCTAAAATCACATAATTTTACGCAATTTGCCTTTGTCTTAAAAAATATACCGGGGCATAAATTTGCCTGTGTTTATTAAATCTCCTCTCCTCTTGTTACGTTCTTTTTACTTGACTTATTTGACTTCTATTGTTTTCTGATATGCGGCGAAGGTTAATGATCACTGTCAAACTGCGCTGAAAGTATGCTGACGAAACAAATTTGATGGAGTAAGTCGGCTCCTGATCTTAGGGGTGATGATATGTACAATCTTTGATGGTTGGATTATTGGTGTAAACCTACCAGATTTAGGGAAGGACCATTAGAAAAGGGAAGGGGATCAGGAGAGTTTCTCCTTTGCTTTTTAGTTCTTTCCGGTTCGCAAAGTTCGTGAAGTGTGCAAAGTGCATATTTTTGACTAAGCTTCGATGGCCCAAGAACAAAAGTCTTTGTGTGCATATATTGTTGTTGCTGTTTTTTCCCTTGGCTGTTTTGTATTTTTTCTCCATGTTCCGGCTTAATGCTCTCTGTCGATCTCTGATTTGCTTAGTTTTGTTTTGTTTATTTTTTCAGTGACTCTCTCTTTATCATGCGCACTAAGACGTCACGTGAGATTTCAAAGCAATTTATCGCACAATAATAGGTTTAACAGTTTATTGTGATACGTAATAATTTCTACAGCTCAACATGTAAGCACATCGCTGGACAACTGACGGTACTGTCTCAAGTTTCTCTATCCAGTAACACTTAGTAAATGAAGCAGCTGAGTGCCACCATGCTGTTTTTATAATCTTTGAAAGGGATATTTTGTTATACTACTACATGAGAAATTTCTGAAATTTGATTGGCTTAGGGCAGTGGTATTTCCGCTTAATTTGAAATACCTACATGTGAAAATTACAAATCTTTTGTGGTAGTTTTTCGAACTCCCGATAACTCGAACTTTTTTTTATTTCCCTTGAAGGTTCGAGTTATCGGCAGTCGACTGTAACCACATCACAACATGACAAGAGTACATTACGTCACTGTGAAACCTCAACGCCACACCGAACGCAAATATGGCGGACCTCGCGGCCGGCCCGGGTCTAGTTGCGCGAAAGCGAGGCTAGTTAGGCCTCGAGAGTTTTGTTTTGACTGCGTGTCTTTGAGTCGATCGATATGGTTTGCATCGAGTTGTTGCATGCCTGAGGGCCACCGAAAAGAAGATTTTATTCTAGCTGGAATAGCCTTTACTTTCCCGAGATCTTTTCACAAAGAAACTTAAGGATTCATGCGATTCGGCGCGGCGATGGGAAGCACTTTACAGCGAAACTGTGCTCGCTCACTTGCTTTAGATAAGAAGACTCACGAAAGTATTTGAATGAAATAATTTTCACAAGAGATGGTGCTGTTCCAAGATGTTTGCATGGTCTCTTATTTATCCAACAAAAGGTAAACATTCTCGAGAACGGGAGCATCCGCAGTGGACCGTAAGATCTTTTAGATTTTCCGCTGAAAACAGCTGCATTAAAATATAACAACAAAAATAACAATCGCCTGTTAATCCTACAAGCGTGACCTGCGAAACTATGTAAGAACCAGAAGAAAGCGACATATTTCAGGAACAGTCCTTGACCAAAATGCACTGAAAAAACTAACGGAGGAACCGTTGCCAACTAAGAAAGTAAGAAGAAAAAAAACGTTCTGGAAGAAAAAGAGCGTGCAAGTATTCGAGTGTGATAGTATTTGACCTTGCGCGTGATCTATTTTAGCAATTTGTCGAATGGTTTCGAGATAAACTAACAGCGATTTTCCAAAATTGCTTCTTTTATGGTACTGCTCAAACTTTTGAACACAGGATCGTGAAGACTGTGAAAAAACATTCGCCCTTGTTAGTTGTCGTTGTGTCCCTGAGAGCGCCTAAGGATTGGTAAGTCGCGACTGCGGATTCACTCGTCCTCGAGGATATTTACCTTTCCGTGGTAAGAGAACGGACAAAGCAAACTTGAAACAGAACCATGAATCTTTCAGTTATTCACCCATTCTAATAGTTTCGTGAGTCTTCTTTTCTGAGGTGAAGCGAGCACACTTTCGTTCCTTTAAAAAATAACTCCGTGATAGTAGAGTGCCTCCATTCGCCGCGCCAAATCGCTTGAATCCATTTCTTTCTTCGTAAAGAACTTTGGCAAAGCGAAGATAATCAACTTTCGTCTCTTCTGGAGTTAAATCTCCTATTTGATGGCTCTTAAGCACGTAATAACTCGAAGGAAACCATATTCATCTACTGAATCGCTAACACACGCAGTCAAATCAAAACTATAGAGGCCTCACTAGCCTCGCTTTCGCGCAACTAGACCCGGGCCGACCGAGAGATCCGCCATATTTGCATTCGGTGTATAATGACAAGGCAGAATGAGGAAGCTTAAGTATTGATAGTTACTCAAGCGAGTCCTCGATATCGTTGTACGCCGACACATAGCAGCGCTCTCGGTGGTTAAAGATTGCTGACTGAAATCAGTTCTCAAGCAAAAACAATGGAAAATTCTAACAACAAACCGAAATCTAATCAAATCAAATCTAAGGCCAACAAAACCGCCGATGGATTGAACATGAAGTTTGTCTCTCTCGCCAGCCACAAAATGGTTCCATCCAAGTTCGAAGATTGCTTTAAGAAAGACGGAAAGCAGGCTAAACAGTTAGCCATAGAGTATAAAGCAGAAAAGGCTTTCTCCATCATCGCAGACGGCAGAAAAGAGCACGAAACAAGCGCTCCACGGCCCACAAAAATTGTTTCAGCATTGGGTTCAGAAGAGGAAGTTTATTCAGTCGGTGCTGACTGTGGTATGTTTGCTGCCGTTTGTACAGCCTATTCTCATCACTATAGGCTTAGGACATCGCCAGATGATTGGTGGTTCTGTGTTATCAAGAGGGTTGCCTGTGCTATTGATCGAAACTCGTCGAAAGCCTCAGTGCGCAACTTGTTTGTCGATCATGAAGGAAAGAAAACAATCGAAGTACAGGTTGAGGATCCCACCATCTACACCGTGGATTACAACTTTCTGTTCGATCAAATAACAAAACAGTTAAAAGAAAACTTAAAAGTGCCCGAGTTTGTTGATGGAGTCACCGCAGATTTTGGAACCACCTCAGCTGTACAGAAGATCGTCTCGCAGATTACGCTGATGTATTCTGTTAACCAGTATTTCGACTGTGGAATACTTACCTCATGTGGCATACCAGCGGTGGAGATGCTTGGCAGTGAAGAAGACTGGATGAAATTGAGTTCTAAGCTGAAAGTTTTAAGAACACTCTTAGAACCTATAGAGAATGATCTTGGCCTTCGATCAAAATGGTGGGATCTGGTTCAGAAAGTGTTCTGGAATCTGCAAACCACCTATCAGGGCAACCCGGATGAAGATTGGTGGAGTCATATTATGAGCTATAAAGAAGCTCATCAGTCGGGTATGTACATTGTTTAATCAATTTATACGATTGTAATACAAAAGGCAAAAAAAAAAATACTGAAGTTGTTAAAAGTATCAAAACCACATGAAAAGCTTACATAACGCTAAGGAAGCAAGAATTTATGCTGGCTACGAAACTGGTAGAAAAGTCTTGAGAGAATTGTCCATAGACTTGCCAAACGCTGATGGGCTTGTAAACGGCTTGTTTTACACAAAAAGGATTGACCGTTTTCATTATTGTAGTCTTTTTATCCACAAATGATATATACTACTGGTTCAACTAGGGATTAACAGGTGTTTACCAAAACATATCACAGCTCAGTAAGCTGATCACAAGCACCAGTTTCTACAACGTCGAAAAGGTTCTTTAATGGAAATTCATCATTATCTTGGAAGAACGTTCTTTATGAAGAGTTCGTATAATCACAGTCAGCGCGAGTAGGCTATCCAAAGCTCTTTTATTTGAGATTGTAAGTCAGGTTTAATGAAGTCTGTCCTAGTTTACGGTCAACTCTTGCCTTGCATACACCCTGCTACAACAGACCTTCCCGATAATAGGGACAGCGGCTAAATCCCCGGCAAAAACAAATTTCAGACTCATTGGCCTAAATAAACTCTCATTATTACGGACTATCGCTTATGAGGACACTAACTTGAGGTCCCCGCAGTGTCTGCAATATGAGGGAGTTGACTGTACTTCGTCTAATCTAGGGAGTACATATTCACGAAATTAAGCAAACAAATATAATTTACTGATTTTGTTTTGTCTCTCAGGAACTCCCGCTGGCGGTATCAAAGGATGGATCACAGATTTCTTGGAGGGAACGCGATATGCAAGGGCACTGTGGGGGCCTGGTGACTTTACAAGTGGCGTAGTGGCCGTTCCTTTCACTATCAAGGACCGGCGTTCTGGTGTCCAGGATACCGCGGCATTGGTGGCAGGAATGCTGGGCTACACTGTTCACAGGATACCCAACTGTGATGAGGTGTCTGTACAACCATTCCAAGGATGGTCTCTTATGTTGTCCGACGACTCGCCTTTTTGCAAATTCTGAACAAACCACTGACATTGGCTTTATAAATTAGTTTAGAAATAATACTTAAAAGGAAAGTTAAAAGTGTTTCAGTACTGTAAAATAACGCATTTAGCATTTTTTCATTCAAATGTAGGCTCGATATTTTTTTTAGAAACGTAGCTAGTGAAAATAGCAGCCATTTAAGTGAAAGCCGCGCAAGCCAAAATGCAGGTTTCTTGAGCGCGAAAAAAGCCACAAAATCACACTACACAGAAGAAAAAGGAAAAGAAAATAGAAAGAAAGCAAAGAGAAATGAAGGTGAAAAACGAAATAGTCCCTGTCTTGGTTTTTTTGTTTTCTGTTTTTGTTTTTGCTTTGTTGTTTTCTTTGTTTGTTTTTTTCATTGCCTATACTTTGGAGACGGTTTTCACCACAGTTGGCCAACAATGATTCGCACTTTTTCGGTGGAAAAGTCAGACTGGAATTCCTAAAATTCGGCCTTTGAAAATCAGTAGTCATTTGACCAAACTGCGGCAAAATCACGAGATTATTTTAGTCTGAAAAGCCCGACAGGATAGGAAATATCGAGTGATGAGAAGAGAGAAAAACAAAAACAAAAAATCAGTGTTGCCAGGGCCGTAGCCAGTATGAGGCAAACCGAGGCACTTGCCTCAGTCATTTAAGGGTTGATCCCGGCAGTGTTTTGTTTAAACGCGGTCATGATAAAGACCCTGAATAGCTAGGCGGGGAATTCAACCGTGGATATTGCCTCAGTCCTTATTTATTTCTGGCTATGGCCCTGGTTGCACTCTTTGTTTTTATATTGTCTACTTTGAGGATAGTGTTTCAACGAAAAAATCTGCTTAAGCGAAAAAATTCAGCTGAGAATGCATGCGTAATTTAAACTACTTGCAGGCATCTCCTCTTTCCTTTGAGAGGCTTTTGAAAGTTTTTGTGGCACATTCTGTTTATGACAAATAAACTCAGCTTAAATAATATTAATATTTACAACAATTAGTTAATAGCGGCTAGAGCAGTCAAGAAGTAGGGAGAAACACTCGACTACATTGCGTGTTTGCCCGTACAATTCTTTCATGCTCTAGCCGTTTCCTGCGTGCTTTACAACTTAGTCAACAAACAGAACAAAGCACAGACAGTCAAGGTTTATTTATTTGTTAAACTTTTTGTATTACTCATTACTTTCCGAATTAACGCGTCATTAAAGTTAGTTAATGTCTCTGTTCCTTCGTGATGCATGTTAAACGCATAACTAAATTATAAAAACAAATAATGACAAGTTGGCGTTAATGGGGGAGCACTGCCTTGTACTAGGTTACCCTAATGCGACTTCCGGCGATGGCGTGACCAAAGAACCTCACTTATCTCCCCAGCACTACGAGCTGAATGCAATACAGCACGTGCTGGATCGGACAAGAGTATCGGTTTGCAACGCGGCCAACAAGCTTGGGGGAAGTCGCTGCGCAGACTTAACCGCACGGCGCGGGAGTGTCCCTAGTTTATTTCACTGCATAGCACAAAACAAAGCCCAAACCTCGTCTCCAAAGGGAGGGAGGGAGGGAGGGAAAAATTTTACAAAAATCGTATACTGAGCGCTAACCTTGCTGAATAACAGAAGCCAAGTGAACTGTTCTAGGCTTTTATAGCTAGACAAACGTCTGCTGGCATAGCCAGTAGAAAAGGCTGTACTACACGACAGCTCAGCGTTGCACGTGCGAACTCTTAGCCATGAATAGTCCATTGAAAAAGTTGGCCAATGCTGTGGATCGTACTAGCATGCTAAATACAATAAGGCCGTAAAGTTCTACGCTAGAATACAATGTATCTTAGAGCTTGCTGACCTTGGCAGCTTGACTACACAACTGCTTTATTGAAAAGGAACCGCCATGAAAGGGTTACTGATAACTGGCGTCACGTTCCATTAACTACATTTTACTTGCGTGACGGTAAAATAGCTTTAATTATCACGAGAGCTTTTCATAACAGAGATTAAGTCACAGTTCAACTGGGGTATCACAATGCTGGTCGTAAATACAGCTGATCGCTTACTAAAAAGTGAATTCGCACTGTTTCAAACTTCATCGATCTTATTATTCAATTTCATTTAATTTGTCAAATGTAGGAGAAATTTTCCGGTGTTGAATCCGAAAAAACCATATCTAAATTTAGAAAAAGAAAAAGAGAATTTTTGTGTTTTGTTCAACTACTTCATTAAGCGGGCGCGTGAAGTTAGGAAGTTTCATGTCACAGTCGTGCAACGACGGCTACGAAATGTTCAAAAAAGTGTGATGGACGTGCAAAACAACCTATTGTTTTTTTGCCTTTTTTGTAGCCGTCGCCGTCGTTGTTGCTAAAGCTCCCTATTGTTCTTCTTCCAGATATTAGGGAGCTTTAACAACGACGACGGCGACGGCAACCAGGACGTCAAAAAAGCAATAGGCTTATTACACAAAACAACACCTTTGAACGTGCATCACGCTTTTTAGTACATTTCTTTACCGTCCTTGCACAACTACGACGTGAAAATGCCGATTGCAAGTTTTATGGAGGACGTAAACAAGCGACCACGAATCTCTTTTTCTCTCTCTAAACTTGAGTGCAGTCCTCAAGAAATCAGCTCCAGGGAAATTCGCCTACAATTGCCATTTTCAGCAAATTGGAATAAACGCGACAAAGATTGAAAAAACGAGAAATCATTTTAAAACTGACGTTTTCGCTGCCGTGCAAAAAGCTCATTATCTTATGGTATCACTAAGATTCGATATTCAAACTAACGTTACGGTATGATTTTCTTTGTTTTTTCTTTATGAATTATGAAGACTTGTGCATTCTTATGCAGTCTATTACAGTTTTAATTAAAAACAGCTGGCTCTAAGTGTTTTTAATAGCACCTCCCTTTTTTCTCTTCGGTATCACTGACGCGAATGTTTTGAGAAGTTTCCTCATTGTCCGTGGACAGTTTCTTCTCGAGCATTTTTTCAGCTAGCTTGTAAAAGGCTTCCTCGATGTTGATATTCTTTTTGGCACTTACTTCAAAGAACGGGACACCGTGCTCTTTGGCCAACTAAAGCAAAAAAGGAAGCAAAGAAAAAACAGCTATTAAAACATTTCTCCACATTTTTATTACTATATATTGTGGTACTTTATTTAGGTTTCTACGAATAGCATCCGCTTATTATCCCAACATCACAACTGACATGGGCACCCACAGGTAAGTACAATAAACAATTATTGGATGAGGTTGAGCATGATATCATGAATGATCAAAACCGAGGTCTGCGTTATCTGCCGAAGCCGAAGGCTGAGGCAGATGATACAGACACGAGGTTTTAATAATTCATGATATCATGCGAAAACCGAATTCAATAATTGTTTTATTATACATTTTTCATAATTCATCCTCAGAAACATAAGCGAAGCGTTCAGCCATTCTGATTCTGAGGAGAACACTCCAAGGGGCTTGGTAACCAGGCAGACGTTGAACTTGACATGATAAATGCAATATCTGCAGCAGATATTGCATTTATCATGTCAAGTTCACAAGCTATTGTGAATTGATTAAATGCTCTCGACTAATCAGATTTTTCATAGTGAGTCTGATGTATAATAATAAGGGTTAACAAAGACATGGCAATGTCCAGGCCCCAGTTGCTTTAAAAGTTGGATATAGCGCAATCCAGTGGATAAGTATTAAAGGGAAACCAATTGCGTTATCCACTGGTTAGAGATTTAGCCGGTGGATTGCGTTACCCACCTTTTGAACAACTGGGGCCAGGACTGGAAAAAGAAACAAGGGGAATGTGCCTGAGATTCAGAAAATGCAGCGAAGAAGTAAATGTGTTGAAACAACTTGATTGCTGGTCCTGTTCTCAACAAGGGCAAACAATGATTATGATAATGATGATGGTATTTACCTGTAACCAGGTTTCACTCTACCCTTTTTTCCTCCAGAAAGCCCAAGATTAGCATTTAGGGGACCACAGATTTGTTGCATCTGATTTGGTGGACTTACTGTGAAGTGTCTTACACTTCAGTCAACCCACCTGCTCCCCGTTTTCCCTGCTGACAATTCTTCTATCTTCCATATGACATTTGCTAGCAAGGATCATCTTTTCTACATCTTCATTTGCATGCTAAAATAGAGTGGGGAAAAAGAATTAACCCTTTGAGTCCCAATAGTGACCAACATCAATTTTCTCCTAACAATATCCATATGTTGCCAGGAGAAAAGGTTATGAGAGTTAATAAAATTGTCACTAAAGAGAAAATGCTTTGATCTGTTATCAAACTCTCCCAACTAATTCTTTAAGGAAATGTATAGAGATCAGTTTGGAGAATTTGTAAGTGGATATCGGGGCTTAAAGGGTTAAAGAGTGATCCTGAAGACATTCTCTGTCCCATAAAAACAATTGTGTGCTTGACAGAATAAATAAAATTTGCAACACTCAGGTTTTATTGCGTTCGACGTTAGGACAACGCAACTCCCTATGTGGTACTTGGGTATCCTGTGGTACTAAGGGGTGACCTTGTGATGTCGTACGTACGGAGGTATTTGAGTTCGGCAAGGGAATAAAATGTGCAGCTGTTTTCGAACTGGGTTTTATCGCTGAGCTGGCGATTCTGTCCTTCCTTTCTCTGTGTCACTCCATGCTTTTCGAAGGGGCATGTTTAACTTTTTACAAAATAAAGCTTTCTAGGATCTACCTCTCATCTATCAGGATCTGATAATTGACCATACTCGAGGGTGGATAAATTGTACTGCAAGCAAAGCTCCGGGATACACTCTATTATAAAAAGATTTTCAAATGCAACCAAACGTCAAGAACGCCCACAGGACCGAAGTAACCCTGAAAGACGATGGTTCTCACAGAGACCAGTTTTGGCCAAGTCTTATATTTTGTACTTTCTGGAGCTGAAAGTTATCAAGAAGAACACTGGAGACCCATGTGGTGGTGTGCGTGTTTCGGTTGAGACGATCTAATTTGTATGACAAGACCGTCAAAAGAAGAAAGAATTGAGATCTGTTGTAAAAGAAGTATTTTGAAACTGGAAGAAGGCCTAGATTTCATCAGTGGTGGCAAGCTATCAAACATTGACGGTGAGATATATCAAGCTTGAGATGTTTGTACAATATTGTTAAGTCCAATGTTATACTGAATCTACCTATTGTAGCCCTTATTATTGCTTTAACTTAACTCATTTATGTAGCCTTATGCAAATAGTACATCAGTCTTCCGACCCACATTTTTAAACGAGTTTACAATTACTAAAGATGATCATGGGATTGTTAGACGATTGACAAAATTCAGGTGGTACGAAAAGATAAAATGCTTGAAAAAACGAGCATTATTGATAACTTTCCCCCATTTTGGCGAACAAAACGATTCATTTTTCCTGTAGATTCGACTGAGATCATTGTTTGC